CTGCTGCTGCTGCTGCTGCTGCTGCTGCTGCTGGGCTGCAACCGCCCACAGCACTACCTTCAGCTCTGCTTAGCTGCCTCACTACCGAAGCCGCAGCTTCTCCACAGTCTGCCTGTTTATAAACTGCAGCAGCAGCTGCTGCTGCTGTTGCTGCTGCTGACTGAGCGCCTGCTAAACCCAAAGCAAGACATGGGGGGACAGTTGACTCTCTGCTGTCTGTACACCCCTCTGTGTGCAGACAATAGCAGCAGCTGCTGCTGCTCCAGGTAGAGTCCTTCTAGCGGTAACAGCTGCTGCTGCTTTTGCTGCTGCTGCTGCTGCTGCCTCTCTAGGGCCCCTCAAATGCTGCTGCAGGAACGCATGCAACAGCATCTAATGCAGCAAGAACGGCGTCGAGCTTCCTTTTAAAAAGGATAAATGAAGCTCCTAGTCAGGGACTTGTAGTAGCTGTTCCTGCTGCAGTTGGGAGCTGCTGCTGCTGCTGCTGCTGCTGCTGCAGCTTGCTGCGCTGCGGCGGCGCTGCTTGTGTTTAAGCAAGATGGCTGCGTAATTATACTATTAAATTGCTGATAATAATAATAAAAGATTTATGTATGACTTCTAAGGAAACCCCTTATTTGTGTTTAGTGTTGACGTAGTTGCAGCAGCAGCCCCCCCTTGCTGCAGCAGCACCAGCCGCAACAGCAGCAGCAACAGCAGCAGCAGCAGCAGCAGCAGCAACGGCAGCGAGCTAAGGCCCTAGTGTATTGGCGAAATCCCTTCTCTCACGTGCCTGAGAAGAAGGAAGCTCCTTAGATCTAAAGAAGAAGATTCTGCTGCAGCAAACAGCAGCACAAAACAGCAGCAGCCTCAACCGCAGCAGCAAACAGCCGAACACGAGCCGCAGCAGCAACAGCAGCAGCAGGAACAGCAGCTGCAGCACTGCAGCACTAGACACACCCACTTCAGCAGCAGACATTTCCCTAGCGCCCTTAACAGCAGCTCAATCTCAAGCAGCAGGATCTGGAGGGAAGTCTGCCCAGACTAGCAGCAGCAGCAGCAGCAGCAGCAGCAGCTGCAGCAGCAGCAGCAGATGAGGATGTACGACTGGGGTGGCATCCAGACACGCAATGTGAATCTATCAGGTAGGGGAGGCTGCAGCACAGCGCTAGGCAGGGAGGCCTTCCTGCAGCAAACCAGGTTACGGCGGCAGCAGCGGGAGCTGCTGCGTCAGCAGCAGCAAGCGCAGCAGAAGATTTCTGCTGCTTGGAGGTCCTTCAGACAGAGGCAGCAGCACAAGCAGCGCTGCAGAGATGAGTTCGATCAGCAGCAGCAGCTTCTGCTGCAACAGCAGCAGCACATGCAAGTCGATGACCATCAGCAGCAGCAGCAGCAGCAGCAGCAGCAACAGCAGCAGCAGCAGCAACTCTATAGGAGACAGGGTCGGCTGATTGCCTTCAGCTTCGATCCGTTTAGCTCCGCTGAGGACCCCGACTCCAAGAGACTCCTTGCTGCTGCTGCTGTGTTGCCTCCTCCTGCTGCAGCAGATGTAGCAGCAGCAGCAGCAGCAGCAGCTAAAGTAACAATAGACGCTGGAGCAGAAGCAGCAGCAGGCATAGGAGCAGACGGAGCAGCAACAGAACAATCAGCAGGGGAGACAACAGCACCTGCAGAAGCCTCAGCTAACGCACCAGAAGCAGAAGGAGCAGCAGCAGCTGCTACTTCTACTTCTGCAGCAGCAGCAGCAGCGACAGAAGCAGCAGGGGCGGCGGATGGAGCAGCGGCAGCAGGCGCAGCAGCAGCAAAGACAGCAGCAGCAGCAGCAGCAGCAGCAGCCGCAAATGCTAACTGCGCTTTGCATGTTGCTGTTCTGCACGCTCTGTCCGTGCATTACAGAAACCTAATAGTGCTACAGCACGGCAAGCAGCGGCAGCAGCAGCGCGAGCAGAAGCAGCAGCAGCAGCAGCAGCAACAGCAACAGCAGCAACACAAGCAGCAGCAGCACAAGCAGCAGCAACAGCAGCAGCAGCTGAAGCAGCCCCCCATGCTGCTATTCGAGGGTGACGTCCGCCGCTGCTGCGGCTGGCGCTGCAGTGCTTTGTCTCCTTCTAAGAAAGCTTGCTTCGGCTTGCCTGCAGCAGCAGCAGTAGCTGCTGCTGCCGCTGCTGCTGCTCCTGCTGCTGCGGCTGTCCCCTGCAGGAACTATGGCTTAGTCGGCAGGCTCCCGTTGGCGCTGCTGCCTTTAGAAGCAGACACTGCAACAAAGCAGCAAGCAGCAGCAACAGCAGCAGCAACGGTGCGGCTGCTGCTGCAGCTGCTGCGCTTTGACCAGCAGCAACAGCAACAGCAGCAACAGCAACAGCAGCAGCAGCAACAGCAACAGCAGCAGCAGCAGCAGGCTAGCCTCTTTCATGGCGCTCTGTGGCGCCTCTTGGGGTTAGGCTGCTGCGTTGCTGCTCAGGTCGGCAGCTTCGTGTGCTCTGCTGTTATCGCACCTGCAGCAGCAAAAGCAGCAGCAGCAGGAACTAGCGGAGGTGCAGCAGACGCTTCTGAAGGGGAAGAGATAAGCCCTGATGCTGAGGATGCCCTGCTGCTGCTGCAGCACTTCCTGAAAGACCAAGCATTTGCTGCAGGTATGGTGTTTGGGTGTTGCTGCTGCTGCTGCTGCTGCTGCACTCGCACGAGTGTGCTGCCCTTGTTGACGGGGCTGGCGTCTTGCTGATGCTGTACCTGTATCCTGCATGCTGCTCTCCTCTGCTATGTGCTGCTGCTGCTGCTGTTGCTGCTGCTGCTGCGCTGCTGCTGCTGCTGCACTCGCACGAGTGTGCTGCCCTTGTTGACGGGGCTGGCGTCTTGCTGCTGCTGTACCTGTGTCCTGCATGCTGCTCTCCTCTGCTATGTGCTGCTACTGCTGCTGTTGCTGCTGCTGCTGCAGATTCTATGGTTCAGTGGGAGCTGCTGGTGCATCTGTTGGGCTGCCCGCTGCTGCTTCCGTCATACGCTACGAAAGACCAGCAGGAGCAGCAGCAGGAGCAGCAGCAGCACCAGCGAGTTCTGCTGCAGGATAAGGCTCTTGCCCGCCTTGAAGCCCTACTCTTCGCTTCCGGTGCTGCACCAGCAGCAGTAGCAGCAGCAGCTGCTGCTGCTGCTGCGCCAGCAGCACTTGCTGCTTTTCCAGGGCTCCGAAGTGCTGCTGGAGTTGCTGCTGCAGCGAGTGCTGCTGCTTTGCTGCGACAGAGGAGGGCCTTCCCCCGGGAGAAGCAACAGCAGCAGGTGCTGCCGCCGCAGCGCCCAGGGCTGCTGCTGCAGCCGCAACAGCAGCAGCTCACGGGGCTACAGCAGCAGCAACAGCAGCAGCAAAAGGTTTTGTCTGCGAGGCAGCAGCTACTGCGGCAATATGCTGCTGATGCAGAGATGCAGAACAGCTTCTATGAGGGGCTACGGCGACCTTACCTGCTGCAGCAATCAGCAGCAGCAGCAGGAACAGCAACAGAAGATGCAGCAGCAACAGATAGAGCAGCAGCAGCAACAACAGCAGCAGGCCAACATAAAATGGGCCTTGGGGTCTGCTTGGCTGGCAACATGCTGTCTCTTCTCTCTCTGCACCGGCAGCGACTCGATGCTGCAGCAGCTGCTGCTTCCCCGTTAGCAGCAGCAGCAGGAGCAGCAGCAGGAGCAGCAGCATCAGAAGAATTTGCATGCCCCCTGTGGCTGCTGGTGTCTTTGCGTCTCTGCGGCTGGGGCTGCCCCTTCGATTTGCTGCGGACGAGTCTCCTCAGTCCTGAAGAGCAGCGGGGACAGCAGCAGCAGCAGCAGCAGGAGCAGCAACAGGAGCAGCAGCAGCAAGAGCAGCAGCAGCAGCAGCAACAGGAGCAGCAGCAAGAGCCGTGTAATGCGGTCTCCGGGGAAGAGACGGTAGGCTTATAGACATAATAGAGGGTCTTTGTGTTCTGGTGCTGCTGCTGTTGCTGCTGCTGTTGCTGCTACTGCTGCTGCTGCTGTTGCTGCTGCTGCTTCTTCAGAGACAGGCTCTGCATTCTTGCAGCCCTGGTGCGTTTACCGCTGATGCGTTTTACTCTTGCTGCTGCTGCTGTTGCTGCTTCTGCTGCTGGTGCCCGGCGCTGCTGGGCTGCTGCTGATATTGCTGCTGTGGCTGCTGCTGTTGCTGCTGCTGCTTACAGCTGAGGCGACAGCTAGTTGGCTTGACGGAGAGTTGGGCTGTCACTGCATTTTTTACTGCTGCGCTTGCTGCTCAATCGCGAGGTACTGTTCCTTGTAGCTAGCTAGCTGGCTGGCTAGCTAGCTAGCTAGCTGGTTAGAACGGCTTAGTGGCTGGGGATAATGCTGCTGCTGCTCTAACAGTTTGCAGCCGCTCGAGGGGCCTCACAGCTAGCTAGCTTGTTACTCGAACAGCTAGCCAGGTAGCTGCTAGACCCGCGAGATAGCTAGCTAGCTAGCTAGCTAGCTAGCCAGGCGGCTATAAAGGGACGTACCCCGCTGCTTGCGTGCTTTTGCTGCAGGCCTTTCGGATCTGCTGCAGCTGTACCTGCCGCCTGACGCGGAACGAGCAGCAGCAGCAGCAGCAGCAGCAGCAGCTGACTCAGGAGCAGCTGCAGCGGGACCAGCAGCAGGAGCAGCAGCAAACGAAGACAGCGAATCTGAAAGCTGGGGCTCCGACAGCGATGAGGAGGAAGAAGACTCTCAACCCTTCTCCTCCCTCTGGGCTCACAAACACACAGGTTAGCTAGCTAGCTAGCTGCCCAGCTAGCCAGTCATGGCTAGCTATCTAGCTAGCCACTCAGCTAGCTGCCTAGCTAGCCACTAAGTTTGCTGTCTAGCGAGCAACTCAGCTAGCTATCTAGCTAGCAACTCAGCTAGCTGTCTAACTAGCCACTCAGCTAGCCACTGTGGTGTTCTAGCTAGCTAGCCACTATGGTAGCTAGCTACTCAGCTAGCTAGCCACTAAGCTAGCTGTCTTGCTAGCCACTCAGCTTAAAGGCAGCCACCGAGTTAAACCGGTACTCAAGGGCCGGTAGCAGCACCTCTGCAGCAGGCGACAATCGCTTGGAGGTCCTACAGCAGCAGCAGCAGCAGCAGCAGCAGCAGCAGCAGTTGTGTGTGTGCATATGTGTGCTAGATGAGGAGGTGCTTATTTTGAATGCCCTGGCCGTCAGCACGCCGCTGCCTCTTCGCCTCCTCCGCGCCATCAAAGACTGCGTAAGTTGCAGCTTTTCTAATCTGCTGCTGCTGCTGCTGCTGCTGCAGAAGCTGCTGATGCTTCTGATGCTTCTGCTGCTGCTGCTGCAGTAGCGGCTGCAGCGTATAGAGAGTTTGAGGTAGTTGTTGCTGCAGTGGTATGTAAGCAGGAGGCTACAGAAGGAAGTTGATTTCTCACCTGCTGTTGCTGCTGTTGCTGCTGCTGCTGCTGTTCTTGCTGCTGCTGCTGCAGTTGCAGACAACGTGTAGAGGATGCATCGACAGCTTCTTCAGTTTGATGGGGCCTCCGCCTGAGTGCAGCAGCCAATGGGGCGAAGCTGTCAGGTCCCTCTGCACTTTGCTTCGGTACAAACTACAGGCAAGCCGCTGCTGCTGCTGCTGCTGCTGCTGTGTTGCTGCTGCTGTGCTGCTGCTGCTGTGCTGTGCGGGCGATGGTAGTGACGGTACTGCTGCTGCTGCTGCTGCAGCCACGGGTAGCAGCAGGTTTTTGCTTCGAGTTTTGCTGCTGGTTGTTGTTTGTCTCCAGATGACGGACGACTCTGAATTGCTGGAGGAGACAGAGGAAGACCGTCTTAGCCCCACATGCAGCAGCAGCAGCAGCAGCAGCAGTGGGGGGTTTTCTTTGCAGCGCAGCGACTTGCGCTGGCTGCTGCTGACCCTGAACCGTCTCGCGTGGCTATTGCTGCGTTCTGCATGCGCTGCTTCAAGCGCGCAGCAGCAGCAGCAGCAGCAACAACAACAACAATTGAATCTTTCTGCCTTCTTGCCCCAGTATGCAGCTTCTGCCTCCAGCAGCAGCAGCAGCAGCAGCAGCAGCAGAAGCAAACTCAAAGGAGGCCGGGAGCGTCTCTGGCGGTTGGTTCCCGGCGTGCTGCGAGAGCTGCTAGACCTCAACAGCAGAGTACTTCTTGTTACAGATGAAGAATTAGTTTTATCAGACGGGCCTGCATCTCTTATTCTTTGTGCTGCTGCTGGTCAAAGGCTGCCAGCTCTATGGGAGTGCTTAGTCTGGTGTATGCGGGGAGGAGATGCAGCAGCAGGCGCTCCCGGTGCTGCTGGCAGCAGCAGCAGCAGCAGCAGCAGCAGCAGCGCATTTGCTGCAGCAGCAGCAAACACACCCTCAAGAGCTGCTGCTGCGCTTCCATCCCCTGTCTTTCGTCTTACTAATCTACCTACGCGTTTGCTGGCTTCTTCTCTGGTGTATGTACCTCATACAATTGGCTTCCCAGACAGACTCGCGGTAAGGGTTTAGGGTTTAGGGTTTAGGGTTTAGGGTTTAGGGTTTAGGGTTTAGGGTTTAGGGTTTGGCGAGAGGGTTTAGGGGAGTTGGAAGATCTCCGGGGCGTCTTGGGAACTGCTGCTGCTGCTGCTGGGTTTGGCGAGAGGGTTTAGGGGAGTTGGAAGATCTCCGGGGCGTCTTGGGAACTGCTGCTGCTGCTGCTGGTACTGCTGCTGCTGCTGCTTGGAGCCTGTTCTGCTGCTGCACTGGCTGCATGCATGCGGAGTGTCTCTTTTGAGCTTTTTGCTGCTTTTAGTTGGAGAGCATTCCTCTCATCTGAGGCGCTGTTCTCTCCGGTGCAGCTAGCCAGCCGGCCCTCGGCTAGCTACCTAGCTAGCAAGCTAGCTAGCTAGCTTGCTAGCCAGGTAGCTGGCTAGCTGGCTACTTAGCTTGCTAGCTAGCTGGCTAGCTGGTTGGTTAGCTAGTTAGGTGGGTAGCTAGCTAGCTAGCTGGTTAGCTAGCTAGCTAGCTCGGTGTTGTTCTTTGTAAGGTTTGTGCTAGTGCTTGCTGCACTTGTTTGTCTTCAGGTCTTTTATCAGCTGCTGGCCTACGAAAGAGGAGACATCTCCGCTGCCTATCTCCACCGCCGCTGCTTCCAAATCAGGCGCACCCACATCGGTCAGTTCCTGCTGCTGCTGCTGCTGCTGCT